TGCTTCAAGCTTTAGACTTTGATTTCTCTCTCATTTTTGAGAGATTTTTGGTACCGTTTGCGGCAAAACGAAGAGCTTGGCGAGATCTTCAAGTTAATGTAAGCAATTTCATCTTTGGCCAACCATAGAATTTTCGAAAATTGGATTTCAAATTGGAGTTTTTGCATCCTTTGAGGTAGGGGTGCTCTAATATACAATTTCTTGGATTTCTTGTGAATTTTTTTTTTTAATTAGACTCTAAGCATGCTTAAATTTAATTTTTCTTAATTATGTTTGTTGTGGTTGTTGGTATTGAAGTGATAAAGGCATGCTAGGTGTTAAGTGAGCTTAGAAATATGATTAAACCTTTTGTGGTGAATAAGCATGCTTAGTGTTGATGTATTATATGCCTATGTTTTCAAATTGCTATGAAAAGTGACGTAATGATTATGAAAATGAATGATTATATTTTATGTTTTATCTATTTAAGTTATTGGATTTGCTAATTGAAAGTATGTAAAATGCCATGATTTAGAAAGTATGAGAATGTGATATTGTGTGGGAATTCATATTTTAAGTATGCTTGAATGATGTGGATGAAATGTAGGAAATTTTTATATTGTCATGGCATTGAAGGATTTGCATAGTTCATGCTTTATCATTGGGAAAGTAAAAAGGGAAAAGTTTATTTTAAAAACAAATGAAATTGTTTTTGGGGAAAAGTTTTTGAAAAGTGTTGTAAAACCCGGACGCCTAAGAGGCATCTAGTGGTCCGTGGTGTTAGTGTGATCTAAAGGGGGGCTAAAGAGAAACTCTAGTGTGATTGAGCTAACTAGGCCCAGACGACGTCATGGAGGTGCCATATGGTCGGGGAAAGTTAGCCAACCCCTCCCTCGTGATGCCTTGGAGGTGCCTTGGGTCGGATTGCACTAATGGTTTGGAGGATTGAAATGGTGTCATTTCGGAAATGGGGAGCGACATTGCATGGCATGGCATTGCATTGACATACATTGTACATTTGGTGGTTAGACGACTTGAGTATGCATTGTTGGTATTATCGTTGTTTTACTTGTTTTCCCCGAGGCATGACCCCACTTACTTGTACTCTATTCCTTATGTAAATTCATGGGGTCATAAGAAGTGTGTCTTAAACACTTCTTAGTGAGCTTATGCTCACCCCTTTAATATTTTTTTCGGGACACGGGAAGGAAGTAGCGGACGACGCTCCTCCACAAGTTTTGATGGGTTAGTGGATTGTTTTGGCATATTTTGTAACTATGATCTCAATTTTTTTATTACTATTATTATTTTTTTATAAGCCTTGGGGTGGCACGTATATTATGTATCTACCTTGGAATTGACCATAGTGCCCCTAGACAACCTAGGGTTCGGGTAAGTACCCGATTAGCGATTCGGACCTTCGGATTCGGATTGTTACAATGCTCCTCTTCCTGCAATTAAAAGTTTGATGTAATTTCTGCCTCTACTTATTTTAGTATATGTAGCAGAATCCTCATCATGTGGGTTTCGTAACTGCAATGAATACAACTAGGTGTCATAGGGGTAAATTATGAACACGAATCTAGTGGCCTGTGAGGGCACTAAGCCAAAAATATGAACAACTTTTCTCTGAATTTCTAACTTAGCTCAGCCAATTCACACTTGCTGCCTAGAACACACAACAAGTAAAACACTCTTACACACAAGTATAGTTGCAAGAATATAAAGATAGACAATAACACCCACAAATTTACAGAAGCACAAGACTTCCAACCTTTTACTATTATTCACAAAACAGTACAAGGAAAGGCCTTAACCTACAAAAGCATACAAGAGTCTCTCACAACACAACTCTGTGTCTCACTCTCAATCTGTCCTCTCTACAGAACCCACATTAGCAATATATAGGCAAACTCTCAAAACGCCTACAATTGCCCACTAAAGTGGTGGATGACACCCCCATCCACCTAGGGTCGTGCTGGCACCCTCCAAGTGTGCCAGCACTACATATGCAGTTGACAAGCCCAACTGCTAGCTTGTTACTATTTTGTTCATTGGTTGTCGTCCCCTTGGCCAAAAAATCTTTATGACAAATTTACACATATTTCCCTAAATTGATGCCCCTTTTGATCTTGATTGCCCCCGTTACTTATTTATGTTGTTATTGTACAATTATGTCCTAAATAAAAATAAAAAATAAAAAATAAAATAAAAAAATAAAAAACCTCTGTAATAGTAATAGTTTGGAGGTTTACGATATGTGAATATTAAAGGTCATTTATGTGAATTGATTTCATATGGGTAAGAATTTCACAAAGCTTAATGCAGGAAAATTGCATCAGATAAATGGTGGTTTTGAAACTGAAACTCTCAACTAGCTTCCACAGTTCAAAGTCACTTTTTTGTTTGCTATTCCAGGAAGGATAAATAATAAGCTGACAATGAAACGAACGGTTAGTGAAATGGAAAAAGTGAGTGAACAAAATACCGAAGCTTCAACTTCAAAATCATCCTAACCACCGCCGAAGAAGAGACGAGGCCCAACACGATGCAAGAATGTCGTAAACGCGACAACCTTATTGCCATTAAGGTATATATCATCTTATATAGTTTACATAATTAGACTATATTCAATATGAAGGAGAAAAAATGATTTATATCTTTATTTTTGTATTAAACATCTACAATTGCTAATTTTTATTTAGGGTTAATAAGTTTGGACAGCCGATCGGCCCTGAAAGTGGTACATATACTAATTATTTGGGAACACTTGCCCGGGATACTAAATTAGCTCATTTGTGCTACAAAACTTGGTGGGAGATACCTAAACGGCTGAAGGAAGATATGTGGAACATTGTAAAGGTAAAACCCTTCTATGACATTAAAATAATTTTTATGGAAAAAGTGGACTAACATGTAGCAATTATCACATTTTCAGGGAAAGTATGATGTGGGAATCATGTCAAAACAGTGGACATTATCCTTCATCGAAAAAAATTGAGGGGGTACAAATGTGAATTAAAAAGTGAATATTACTCGGTTAGGGATACAGATGTAGAAAGATTGGCAAACCTACCACCTGATGTTAAAAAAGAGCATTGGGAATTTTTGGTTAGGCATTGGGGTACGCCTGTGGCGAAGGTAATCCTCCATCTACCAATTTTGTTTAAAGTCAATGAGTTGAATTTATAGTTTACCTGCTTTCAGTCATTATTTTAGGTGGAATGTTCTCTACTCAAAGACCGTTTACTTTTTCTCAATTTTGTAGGAGGTTAGCGAAAAAAACAAAGAACGTCATGGGAAGCAGACAATGATGCATACTACAGGGACAAAAAGCTTTGCACGTGTTTCTACCGAGGTTAGTTGAAGTTTTGGCAATATAAATTATTTCAATTCATATGTCGTTGAATGATTATAAATGTTAGTGGTAAATAATATATATATCACAATGTCTATGTTTCTTTTATAGATCGAGGAAAACGAAGGTATTTAGCTTTCTCATGCAGATTTTTTCATTCGCACACATATAAATAAGGATGGCAAAGCTACTGATGCTGCTACTTCGGAGTTGATTGTAAGTTTTCATGCTTCCATTTTGCAAAAAAAGGGGTCACATGCCTTGAAGTGACCAATTTTTAAACTTTTTGCGGTGTATTAGGGGGTCACATGCCTTGAAGTGACCAATTTTTAAATCATCGGCCCGTGTGGAGGCATGTTAATTTCATTGTTTATCATCGGCCCGTGTGGAGGCAATTTACTTTCTTGTATTTGTTGAAAAACATGGGAGTATGGGATCATTGTATGTGGAGGCTTCTTGTTGATTGATTTGTGTTATGGATGAAAAGTATTTGTTATTAATCTTAAAGGGATAATGAGAATTAGTTTCTTTTGAATAAAAAAATAAGACAAAATAATCCCATCAACCATCTAAACTAGTGAAGTTCATTGATAATTATTATAGTGACACCAGTTCGTTCTTCATTTCCTATGACATAGTGCAATGTTGATATATTATAAGGGACAATGTCTCTAAACTAGTAAAGTTCATTGATCTTCCCAAATTCCTCAGAAAATTTCTCATAAATGTGACTAGTCTTCTAGATGCCACATACAAAACTTGGACTTGCTGTAGTAAACAAAAATTAAAGATAGATTTAACTTTTAGACAAATTCACATCAAAAGGTAGGTAAAAACCCATAAATGAGAGAACTTCATAAAAATTCCGAGAAGGAAAAAGATGAATATTATTCAAGACCATTAGAGCTAACATCACAGAATAAACATATTGCCTCTAATAGCAAATACGGGTGCACCTGCACAAAAATAGGAAACCCAAAATTATCTCCAATGGTATGTATAAACTCAAAACTGTTCCTTTTAGCATGTTTGTATGTACCTTGTTACAGAAATTCCCAACTAATGCATTTAGCTAGAAGAGCTACTGAAATTCATTCTTCAATTCCTGTGGGAGTCGTTATTGAATTATATCATTTGCTCATATTATGCAGTACCTTGTAGTAATAATTATCCAGCCAAAGTTTTCTTATCTAATACTCCTAAGAGCACTAGGCACCGGTCAAGAAAATGAGGCAACATTAGCCTAGTTTCTAACGGTGTTGAATTGGAATTGTTCGTTAGTATATTTGAATTAGCACCTCCTCTTTTATTGTGTGTTCTGTAAGCCTAGTTTCTGTCTGGAGGTTTTCTTTTTCTTCTTTCATTGCCTTCGTTTTTAAATGTGTTTTCTATTATAATATTTTCAACTCTTTCATTGAATTCATAGCTTTTTAGATGCTTGAGTACTTATTAGTTGATTGAAAAGGGAAAAAAAATTAATGAAGAAATATCTAATTGTTGAAACTAGCTACTTATTAGGTTTAATTTTCTGGGTTTACCTTGTAATGGAAATTTTATATTGATCATTTTGTGAGCCTTCGTTTGTAATGATGCTCTGACTTTCTTCATTGGCCTCACTTTTTTTTCTTCTCTCTTCTGAAAAGAATTTGGATTAGTGTTTTTTATATGGTTATTAGCTCTGCTTGAGTGCTTGAAGTTCATTCTATCTCGTCTGCTTGGTGTTGCTAGGATTCCTAGCTGATTAGCTTTTGGTGTAATTCATTACATCACCACTACTTGAAATTCTCTCCTATAATTTTTATGTTTATGTCACCTTTTGATACTCGTGGCTGCAACTGTTTTTCGTTTTCCTTTTCTTTTATGGGGTGTTTATTGTGCTAATTAGTATTTAAGCATATTTTCTTTTCTCATTTAAACTTAGTGTTCAAATTTAATTGAGAATTCGGCTATGGAAATTCTCTTTCATGTCTCAATTTCATAAAAATGATAGGAACTTGGACTCTTTCTGACTATTCATGATGTTAACGGTTGGAAAAGTAGCTAGATTTCTGTTGCCCAAATCCTTAGTCTTGTAAAAATGGAGTAATTAACTTTGGACTTTAACCTTTTATATAGCTGGAAAATCTCAATTTCTTGCATTTGGACTAGAAATTTAAAAAATTGAGTCCATTTTTCACCGCTGCTCTTTCACATTACTCCAAAATCTCCCTCCATTCTAAAAGTCAGATATACCGCCAAAATGTTGGACACGAAGCATTCTATTTAATTTATTTTCTATACATTCATTATTCTGTCTCTTTTTTTTTTCTTTTTTTTTTTTGTATGTGTGTGTGTGCAGGAAGACATAAAAGAACTTCAAAAAAGTTACTCTAACTCGCCTATTGGCAGTTCCAATGATATGTTCTCCGTTGTGAGGGGAGAAGAGAGAACTGGTCGTGTGTGGATGCTTGGCTTCGGGCCTACACCAAGCGATGTTTGGGGGCCTTCTCCTAGTAAAGCTGAACTGATTAATAAAGCAAAAAAATCTGATGAGGAGGCACGTGTAGAATTGTAGGAGACCATTTAAAAAATGCAAGCCGATTATGACAAGAAGTTGGAAAATTTACGAGCCAACTATGACGACAAGTTGGAAAATTTACAACAACAGGTGGCTATGCTAATGCAGATGCAACAACAAAATTGTAGTGGACACGTATATTTATTATTAGTTTTACTCTTTCCTAAATATATGTTGACTTATGCCAAGATTTCATGTATTTTGTTTTGTTATTTCGAAGGGTTCTGATTCTTTAAATGCTCCTCCTAGACTATCCCCAAATTCATTTTCTAGTCATGATGCCAATTCAGTTAAGGTTATGAACTTTTAATTTCTCTTATATGTTAAATTTCCATTTATTATAATGTGCGCTTAACGAATTTATAAAAAAATGTAGGGTAATTCAAATTAAATGGGCAAGAAGAGTTGTTGAAGTTGAAGCTGAAGATGGGGTCGTGGCTGTGCTTTCTGAATTTCCTTCACCTTGGATGGGTTCTTTTTGAAAAACTTGTATTACATTTGTCAAAAATTCTTAATTCTTTTTGTGTGACATTTAGTAGCTTTATCTAGACAATTTGGATGGTATTTTCATATTTGCAGGTTAACTTGTGGTTGTATTAGTATACATTTTGGCTTTTTGGTTGACATTTGCCAGCTTTATCTATTGGTAGCCAATTTCGATGGTATTTTTCATGTTGGCAGCAGGTTAACTTGTGGTTGTATTATGTAAAAACAATTTGGATGGTATTTTTATATTGACCTATGTTATATTGGATAACATTTATTAGCCATAAAGATATTTTTTTCCAAAAACAATTAGGGGGGGGGGGGGGAAATATATATATATATATAATGACTTTTGAGAGTGCTGGCATAGTGGGGGAGGAAAAAAAAAATTTAAAATTAAAATGCCCCTTTATCAGCGTTTTTCCAAAAAACACTAGTAAAAGCCTTTTACCAGCGCTTTCTGGAAAGCGCTGGTGGTAAAGGCCTACCGACACAGGATTTACCAGCGCTGATAAAAGGCAGAACTGTTGTAGTGGAATAATAACACCCACAAATTTACAGAAGCATAAGGCTTCCAACCTTTTACTATTATTCACAAAACAGTACAAGGAAAGGCCTCAACTTGCAGAAGCATACAAGAATCTCTCACAACACAACTCTGTGTCTCACTCTCAATCTGTCCTCTCTACAGAACCCACATTAGCAATATATAGGCAAACTCTCAAAACCGCCCAAAACTGCTCACTAAAGTGGTGAATGACACCCCCATCCACCTAAGGTCGTGCTGACACCCTCTAAGTGTGCCAGCACTACATATGCAGTTGACAAGCCCAACTGCTAGCTTGTTGGCACGCTCTGCTTATGCCACTTGTCCATAAGAAGTTGCACATTATCTGCCACCTTCTATATATCAGCATAGTGGAGGAAAACCGACCCCAACCACCTGTGTGTTGTCCCCTCAGATCTGTGCCACATGCATGAGAAGTTACTCAGCACACCCCCACTCCCCATAATATATGCACACGAGTGGGAAGTGTTAGTAACTGGCCCCAACCAACTGAGCCCACTTAGCCATCTTCTGTAACCATAAACCCTGTCTGAGTCCCTTGAGCCAACCTTGCACGCTGAGCCTTGCCTACGCCCACTGCCTTGTGCCCATGTCCCTAACTTGACTATGCCACACGTCCATGACTTGTGTGGTCCATGCTTTAAGTAACATCTGAGCCAACCTTGTGAACCTAACCCGTGCCAAGCCCACTAATCTGCACCCACATATAAATGCTTCTGAGTGCACGGCATGCTAAGCTCTGTATGTCCGTGCGCGCGCTCTACTGCTCGCACGCTACCACTATGAGCATGCGCTGATGCTTCTGTGCGCGCGCACTGATGCTTTTGTGTGCACACGCACCATGTTGTGCACCGCAGCACACTTGTTTGCCCTTTGGTAGTTTTGATGTTCCCCTCTTGTGCAACCATCTTGGAGTGGTGCAACATGTGCCCATGCACGTTGGCTAAGCCCTCGAAATAAGTCATGCCATAGCCTAACCGATGTGCCCCAACGACCACTCCTTGGTATAGTCCTTAGGGAAATCAGCACTCTGACAGTAGTAAACATTACCTATGCTTAAGGAGTTATAATGGTCTTTTAGGCCCTTCCCGACATCCAAACTGAGTGTCGTTTACGCCAACCATCTTCTATGGACTCAAGGTACCTCCCATAAAGTTGCCAAGCCAAAACCCCAAACTTCACTTTTTACCATATTTACGAAAATGCCACTAGGCACCCCCCAGTGCACGCTGACAGCATCCCATGGCTGTCAAGGGGCTTGTCAAGGTCCAAACCCCGTAACACTAGGCCACTAGACAAATTTTGGAGTAAAATGATCAAACTCTACTTGTGGTACACGTATTGCCTTGCATACAGACATACGCATTTACGTATACCTAATAAACATATCTCTATATATGAAAATTTGTATATATTAATAATTAAATCATTACTCGTGAATCTGGTTAATATTAATATATACATATATTAATAAAATATTAAATAAAAAAATAATAATAATAGGAATAATGGCACGGACCTACCTGGGACCGGGGAATTTTTTTTTTTTCCCTATTATATATTAGACTTTTTAAAATATATATGCCTTGCCCCCGATGAAATTTCACAAATACCCCCTGAGGATGCGGCAAGTGGCATGGGCCGGATATGGATCGCGGAAACGAGATCGGGCCGAATGATTGAAGTATGATCCATGCCAAAGCACCCTGGAATGGGCCGAACGTGGGGGGTCCACCGAGGAAGGTCAAGCCCATTGCAAGAGCCATCCCAGAAGGAAGAAAGCTTTCGGATATAAGCCCAATGTAATTGGTTAACTGCAAAAAATGTCATGGCCTATAAATAGACCATGACGGGTGGAAAGTGAGGAGGAAGGCTAGAGAGAGAGAGAGAAAGAGAGAGAGAGATGAAACTAAATCTTGTATCTTCAATTGGCGCTGTCTGTGGGAAACGAGGACGAAGATCAATTCGAGCTCGATCAGTACCATATTAGTTCAATCGACTTTGTGAATATGCAGTGTGACTTCTGGAAGTTGAATCCAGATCAGTGAGATTATAGTTTGCTCCGAGAGAATTCTTGCTTATTGTGGATTCTGAGGCATTTGCTCTGGAAGGACGCAATTGTGATTTGCTCAGTTGCAGTCAGATCCGACGAGTTTGAAGCTAGAAAAGTTCAGATCTAGCAAACAGCGACGACGATTCGGTAAAGTTAAGCCCAGATCTAGCAGAGTTTGCATCGGTAACGCTTAGATCTGTTTCGAAGTTCGTAATTCATGCCTTTGCTTCGATCCGGAATCATGATAGGGGGTGACAACTCTAATATGGTTGAGAACATCCAGCAAGTGAAACTTAATGAGTTGATGAACATGATTGAAGCTCTCCAGAGAGAAAATGCAGATCTAAGGAATGAAATACAGCGTCAAGAAGCTCCGGTAATTCCACGACCACTTCCGGTAGGAGAAGAAGGTGCACGTACCGATGCAGCACATCACGGTGAAGAAGTTGAAAAAAATCTAGTAGATCCTCACCGCGAGGAAATCCGGCGAGACGGTTTGCCGCCAAATCTTCCTCGTATGGATGATCGTGAAGGATCGATTCACATGGATCCACGGCGTGAGCAGATCAGGCGAAACGAAGCAATGACTTTTGATCCACATCAAGAAACGCTCAGCCGAGGTGAAGCAACAGAGTTGATTCGTCAGAAAGCTATGCCTCCATGGCGCAAGGACTTCGTTGAGGATAGATCATTCGATCCGACCTATCGGCCTTCCATGACGACGTTCGACTATCACAACTCAGAGAGAAGATTAGTAGACCAGAGAGCAGCCGCGGGGTTCCAGAGGGAAAATGAAGCACTCCGTTCAGCAGCTCGAACGGTGGATTCACCGTTCACCGATGAGATTCTGAATGCTCCGAGTCCGAGGAAATTTTCCATGCCCGTTTTCATTCTATTCGACGGAACGACTGATCCGATCGATCATGTGTATCACATCCAGCTGAAAATGGCTCTAAACACTGAGAATGATTCTTTGATGTGTAAGTGCTTTCTTACGAGTCTGGCAGGACCAGCTCTGAATTGGTTCAAGAACCTGCCGAGGGGTTCGGTGGATAGTTTCCGAAGCCTGTGCGATCGGTTCATAAGCCAATACTATGGAAACAAGCGTCCAGCGAAAGATATTTCGAGCTTATTCACAATGAAGCAACACGCTGAAGAGCGTCTCCAGGCTTTCCTAACCAGGTTTAACCTCACCAAGAGCATGGTTATTGAATGTCACCCTTCAACGACAGTTCAAGCATTCATTCTGGCTATGAATCGTAGCACCCCGTTCCACACAAGCTTGGTGGTCAACACGCCGAGGACTATGGATGAACTTAACGAAAGAGTCGATGCATTTGTGCGCTTGGAAGAAGAAGAAGCAACAAACGCTCGGAAGACATCCATTATATCCACGGAAGAAAAGACCAAAGCAAATATCAGGCAAAAACAGGTCCAATCGCAACGCTCCTCGTGGAAATCCGAGAAGAGGCCCAGAGAGGAATAGCTGATTACTCCATTGAAAGTTACCATAGCAAGACTGTACCAAGAAAATAAAGATAAGTTCCGACCTCCTTTACCAATCAGGCAACCTCTCGAACAGAGGGATCAGTCTAAACACTGTGCATTTCATTCTGATTTTGGCCACCAGACTAACGAATGCAGGAACCTAAGGAGACAGGCAAAGATGCTGATAGCCAGAGGGGAGTTCGCAAGTTATATTCAAGGACCAGCGGTGGACCAGAACCGGCCAATGGAGCATGTGAAGAAGAATTAGAAGTTGAATTCTCACAACACACAACCAGTTCGAGTAATTAATGCAATTCACGGTCGGCCATAACCTGCTGAGGAATCAGATGAATTACTTCGAACACGCCTTCGTCAGGCACGGATGAAGAGAAGGATAGGCAGTGTAAACACTCTGCACCAGCAGAGCGCATCAACGCAAATAAAGTTTGACACAGCAGACTTGTTGCGTGTTCAGATCCCTCATGAGGACCCGCTGGTCGTAAGTTTGACAGTGGCCAAATGCTTAGTGCGCAGAGTTCTAATTGACCCTGGAAGTAGTTCGAACATCATGCCAAGAGATACATTCGATCGGCTCGAGATCAAACGGGATCAGCTGAAATCCACCGAGAATCCACTAGTAGGGTTTGATGGAAAGCGAGTGGAGCCCGTCGGCACGGTGGAGGTAGCGGTACATGCTGCCGAAAGGGTTTTGATGGAAACCTTTGTAGTTGTTGAAATTCATCCCTCTTACAATCTTCTGATGGGCAGAGGGTGGATCTACAGAGTTCGAGGTGTTCCTTCCACTCTGCATCAGGTAATGAGATGCCTGGCACCAGACGGAACCAAAGTGATTGACATTCATGGAGACCAAGTTGCAGCTAAAGAATGTTACTCTGTAACGCTGAAACATGCCGGAAAGGGGAAAGCTCCCATTCGTTCAGTAAGTCCGAGATAGCAATTACAGGAACCTCCCCCCAGGCAGAATGGAGAGGAGGAACCAGAGGGCTTGACTGAAGAACCCCTGCTTGATGTGCAGATCAATCAGTTCCGACCGGAACGGACAACCAGAGTAGGGGAACGACTCGTTGAGGAGGAAAAGCAGGAATTAGTTGATTTTTTGTCTCAAAACGCAGATGTGTTCGCATGGAGTCACCTAGACATGCCCGGGATCGATCCTTCGGTATCCTGTCATTCCTTGAACGTTAATCCCAATGCAAAACCTGTAAAGCAGAAGCAGCGACGGTTTGCCCCCGAGCGCAACCGAATTATTGCCGAGGACGTTGATAGGCTGCTTGATGCGGGGTTCGTAAGAGAAGTGCACTACCCCGACTGGCTATCGAATGTGGTCGTTGTGCAAAAGAAAAATGGGAAATAGCGCGTATGCATTGATTTTACCAATTTAAACAAAGCTTGTCCGAAGGATAGCTTCCCGCTGCCAAAGATTGATCAGATGGTGGATGCAACAACTGGATATGAACGCTTGACCTTTTTAGATGCTTATTCGGGTTATAATCAGATCCCCATGGACCTCGCTGATGAAGAAAAAACTTCTTTCATTACTGAACGCGGGACGTATTGCTACAAAGTTATGCCATTTAGACTGAAGAACGTCGGGGCAACTTACCAAAGACTTATTAGCAAGATTTTTAAGGAACAAATAAGGAAGACAGTGGAGGCTTACATTGATGATATGGTGGTCAAGAGTAAGAAGAAAGCTGATCATGTGCAGCATCTTCGAGGCGTGTTTGATGTTTTACGGCGATATGGAATGAAGCTTAATCCGACCAAGTGCTCGTTCGGTGTAAGTTCAGGCCAATTCCTAGGGCACGTGGTTAATCTCAGAGGCATCGAGGCAAGCCCTGCCCAAACAGATGCTCTGACTAAGAATGCCGAGCCGACGACAATCAAAGAGGTGCAAACACTTACGGGACGGATTGCTGCACTGAACCGTTTCATTTCCAAATTGTCAGATCGATGCAAACCATTTTTTGACACAATCCGGAGCCACGGCAGGCAGGTTTGGGGAGATGAACAACGCCTAGCGTTAACTGCTCTGAAAAAATATATGCAGAACCTTCCGGTACTGTCAGCTCCAGAGTCAGGCGAAAAGCTATTTTTGTATCTCGGAGTATCCAGCATCGCGACAAGTGGCTTTCTGATCCGCTACGCAGAAGGGAAGCAATATCCAGTGTTCTATGTTAGCAAAACAATGACTGAGGCCGAAAGACGTTATTCAAAGGTAGAGCGGGTGATACTCTCGCTAGTGCATGCGAAAAGAAAGCTCAGGCATTATTTTGAATCCCATCCTATTATCGTTCTAACCACTTTCCCTATCAGAATAATCCTGCACAAACCAGATCTCTCCGGAAGAATGACGAAGTGGGCCATAGAGTTAAGCTCATTTGATATCACATACGAACCTAGAACAGCAGTCAAAGGGAAGGCGGTGGCAGATTTTTTACTAGAATGTGATTCAGATTACGTGGAGGAGGATCTTTGTAAGTGCTTATGGAAACTCTTCGTTGATGGATCCTCAAATCAGATGGGTGCAGGCATTGGGATCAAACTGCAGACACCAGAAGGTACAGCCTTAAGCCAAGTGCTTCGGCTTGAATTCGCAGCCACGAACAATGAGGCAGAATATGAAGCGTTGCTGGCAGGAATAAAGCTTACCAAAGAACTTAAGGTCAGGAATTTGAATGTTTTCAGTGACTCACAGTTAGTCGTTCGGCAGGTGAGGGGTGAGTATGAAACCAAGGATGAAACGATGGAAGCATATCATTCTGCTGTTATGTGGGAGGCACAGAACTTTGAAAAAATTGAATTCATTCAAATTCCGAGGGAGTATAAGGAAGATGCCGACAGGCTAGCATGTAGCGCCTCGGGTTCTGGAGAAACATTGGCAAGGGTGGTTCCAGTGGGAATATTAAACCAGCCATCCATTTTCGAAGAACCTTCAGGCTCGGATCCTTGGCAAGTGAATGTTATTCCATATGAGCCAAGTTGGATTGATCCGATCATAACTTACATCCGAGATGGTACTCTGCCTGAACAAAGAAATGAGGCTAGGAAAATTAAAGCGAATGCTGCAAAGTACGCCGTAGTGCATAACCAGTTATACAGAAGATCCTTTTCCGGACCGTACTTAAAGTGCGTTACCCCCACAGAGGCTCGGCAAATATTATGAGCTATTCATGAAAGTGTATGTGGAAACAACTCAGGAGGGAGATCATTAGCACACAAAGCAATGGCTCAAGGGTACTTCTGGCCAAACATGTCAAGAGATTCGGAAGAATTGTCCAGAAGATGCGATAAGTGCCAAAGGGTCGGACCACTAATTCACCAACCGCCTGAAGACTTGCATGTAATGGCCACACCATGGCCTTTCGCACAATAGGGGATGGATGTAGTTGGTCCTCTACCAACTGCCAGAGCTCAGAACAAGTATGTGTTACTGGCTACAGACTACTTTACTAAGTGGGTGGAAGCAGAGCCGTACCCGAGCGTTACTCAAACTCATGTGAGACGATTCATTTGGAGTAATATTATTTGCCGGTTTGGTGTTCCGAGGTCAATCGTCATGGATAATGGTACCAACCTTGACAGTAAGCAAGTAAAAGAGCTGTTGGAGGAGTATGGAATTAATCAGAAGCTGGCAGCAGTAAGTCACCCACAGGCCAATGGACAAGCAGAAATTACAAACAGAACAATCTTTACTTGTATCAAAAAGAAACTAGAAGAAAGGAAAGGAATGTGGTTAGATGAACTGCCGAACGTCCTATGGGCCTACAGAACGACCCCTAGAAGACCGACCGGAGAAAGTCCATTCACCATGGCGTATGGAACCGAGGCAGTTATACCGGTCGAGCACTTAGTTCCGACTGTTCGAAGCTTGGCATGGAACCGTAAGCATAATATCAATATGCTAAGGTTTAACCTCAATTTGCTGGAAGAAAAAAGAGACGCAGCAGTGGTGAGGCTCGCCTCTTACCAGCAGACGCTTGCGAACAGCCATAATAGGAAAGTAAAGCACAGAGACTTTAGGCCAGGTGACCTGGTTCTGAAAAAGAAGGTGGGGATAGTAAAAAAGATGATGCCACCATGGGAAGGCCCATACAGAATTGCAGAGGCCATAGGAAAAGGCGCATATACCTTAGAAACCATGGCCGGAAGGCTGGTTAACAAGCCTTGGAATGCTACTTCTCTAAAGAGGTATTATCAATAAAAAGTTGAGATTCAGTACTGAATTCTATTTATTTTAAATTGAAAACAGTTGAATGTATGAGTTTCCGAGATTTATAAAGATTGCACTCCTCTTTAAAATCCTAAGCAAAGTAAGTGGCAGCTGCCACTATGAGCCGAACGCCAAACACTTGCTAAAGAAAATTATAGGGCCAAGTGGCAAGAGGCATTCCAGCCGAGCGCCAGGCAAAGTAAGTGGCAGCTGACATTATGAGCCGAACGCCAAACACTTGCTAAGAAAAATAAAAGGCCAAGTGGCAAGAGGCATTCCAGCCGAGCGCCAGGCACCTAAGCAAAGTAAGTGGCAGCTGGCACTATGAGCCGAACGCCAAACACTTGCTAAGAAAAATAAAAGGCCAAGTGGCAAGAGACATTCCAGCCGAGCGCCAGGCACCTAAGCAAAGTAAGTGGCAGCTGGCACTATGAGCCGAACGCCAAACATTTGCTAAAGAAAATTAGAGGGCCAAGTGGCAAGTGGTATTCTAGCCGAACGCCAGGACTTGAGCAAAGTAAGTGGCAGTTGGCACAATGAGCCGAACGCCAAACACTTGCCAAAAAAAAAAAAAAAAGGTTGACACAAAAAATTTGATCAGGAGTCGGCCATCTCATTAATAAGCTTCAGAGGGTTACAAAAAATGAGGTGTAAAGATGGCACATATGCCAAAGTCAGTACATTTAAAAAAAAATAAATAAATAAAAATAAATAAAAAATAAAAAAAAAAGGTTCTAACTAAGAGGCGTTTGCCTCGTCGGCCTCTTGATGATGTTGGGCTACCTCCTCATTGTTGGTGATGTCGCCATCCTCACGAGGTGGAGAGTCGAGGTGAATGACAGAATCGTTCTGTTGAATCCTACCCTCAACAGCGTTGGAAGAATCATTCTGCTGAGGGTTATCTTCAGCAGTAACGGCAGATGGAGTCAAAGTGGACACAGGAAGAATGTCCAAAGTCAGAGCGGCAGGAGGAGTAGGAGTGATCCGAGAAGACGCAATCTCCTGACATTCATCAAATATCCCCTCGGCAGCGGTGGAGTCTGGATCGATATAAACACCAGGAGGGTCAATATCCAGATCCTTATCAACATCATCAGGGGTAGAGCCAGTCTGACCCTCATCCGGGATGCGATCGGCGTAACCCTCTCGGAACCCTTGAGCATATCTGAGGGCTCCAACTCTAGAGAATCGAGCATGCAGAGCTAGCATACCACCATTTACCCTGCTGATGGTATCAAGTAAAGCGTTGCGCTCGTCCAGGGCCCTCTTCTCAAAGGCTATCCGAGCGGATTACTCGTTATTCAGAAGGCGTAGCAGTTCTTCCTTCTCGGCCATAAGGGATTCCCGTTCGGTCTGCCAGACGCTCTTTTCAAGTTGCAGAGCATTCCTCTCATCCTGAAGAGAGTCAGTCTCCCTCCTCAGCGAATCCCTCTCTTTTTCAGTTTTACCAAGTTGAACCATCAACCCGGTCTTCTGAGCAGCTAAGTTATCGTTCTCCTTGTTCGTTGCGCTAAGGCTGTCAGAAAGCGCGCGGACCTTGGCATTCACCTACTCAACTTGCTTCTGCATAGCCATCATCCCGTACAAGGTCTGTAGAGATATACAGGACAACTGGTTAAGCCGAGCAGATGGTTAGAAGAAAATAAGTGGCAAGAGTATGTAAAGATTTATTGACTAAGGGGTAGAAGTTACCTCCATGGCGGACAAGGGGAATCGGCTGAACACCTCCCTCTGAGATAGAGCTTTGGCTACCTCGATGTCCTTGGGAGTCCACATACTCCTGTAGTAGGCCATTGCGGTCTGACCATCTTTGAACATGGTCTCGGTCGGTTTCACAGACGATCCGTCTGTTCGGATGAAGCGAGGGCTCCATGGCGCCGTTCCTGAAGCGAAGGCATGCCCAGAAGGGGTAGGGGGCCTAGCTTGAGAAGGTCTCGCTAGGGAAATCACATTCAGCCCAGAGGGCCTAACCCTCTGAGACAAGGGAACGTCATCCATGCTGAGAGCACTGTCAGGTTGATGCCTTTTTCCTCTGGCCTTTTTCCCGTGCGGAAGCAGCAGTAGAGCCAAGAGGATTGTTGACAGAGGGGGCAACGTTCGGGCTGGCAGTCGTCGTGTTAGCGACCGGGTCAGCAGCCATC